GGGATCTTCCTGCTCCCTGGGTGCTGATTCAGGCCCCTCCATGGAGTGGAAGGTGTCCCTGGAATGGAATTAGATGATCTTTAGGATCTCTCCCGGCCCAAACCAATGTGGGATTCTGTGATTTCTTTTTTTATCTCCCTTTCCTGCTCTCCTGCTGCTTCCCTGGACCCAGAGTGATCCCAGCTGGCACTTTGCTCTGGTCCCAAGTGCTGGGAGAATCCCAGGGCACAGGAATAACCCTGGAGCATCCCAAGGTGGGACACTCTGGGTCACTGCAGGCTTGTGCTCGGGCAGACGGGCTGTGGCCTGGCTGGGGGCAGAGCTGGAGCTCTGCAGAGCCTGCTTGGCTGTTTTTCCAGCAGCTTTTGTTTTGGACAACCGAGTCTCCAGAGCTCTGAGCTCAGCAGAGCCGGGATGGCCAGGAGTGAGGATGAGCCACGTGCTCCAGGCAACAGCTTGGAGCTGCTCCCTGTCACCAGGGGTGACAAATCCTCCTCCAGACCCGGGTTTGGAGCTGTGTTTGGTGCTCCTGAGCGCCCAACCTGCATCCCTCCTTCCCTAAAAGGTGGGAGAAGCCCCCTGGGAGCACCCCAGCCCCTCCAGAGCCAGGAGCAGCTCCCACATCACCGTCAGCTCTTCCTCCATTTGTCTCAGGGAATTCAGGATTTTGTTTTCATTCCTGGCCTCTGTTTACATTCCTTGTTTCTAACTTAATTCTTCCAAAACTCCAGAGGTAGAAGCATCCAACGCATGACACCCTCTCCGAAGGTCAGGCTCGAGGAGGCATCTGCTGGAGGTTGGAAAAACTGAGTAGACGTGGGAAAACCTACAGGGAAGTGCTGGGCTGACCTCGGGATGGAGGGCAGGGAGGTCATGTGAGGCTTGGAGGCTTCAGGGTGGGATTTGGATGAAGGGATGGAAGTTCTAGTGGGTGTCATCCCTGCTCCTGGCAGGGGGGGTTGGAACCAGATCTTTAAAATCCTTCCCAACCCGAACCATTCTGGGATTCTATGACTAATTTACAGTTATTCCCAGGCTTTTCCACCTCAGCAATGGACAAAGGCTCGTTCCTGGTCCATCCCTGGAGCACAGGGTCACCCCCACAGCAGCTGCAAGGCCGTGGTCAGTGCAGCTTTTCTCCTCATCCAGATTTCATAAGAAGTCCATCCAAGGATGTTAATTTGGAAGACATGAGATCTTCCCTTTGGGAATGGCTGTTAATTCCATGATTATTTCTGCAGCCAGCTGAACTCACTGCCCTTTGTGGAAAGCATCCCTGCCTGTTCTCTCCTTGCTTTTGACCACTTGTGATGGAATTTGCAGGAAATGCTGACGGCTGGGGAGGTAAAAACCTTTCCCAGGGCTCAGGTGCAGCTCCTGGGTTTTGTCCTGCTGGAGGGATGGGGTGGATTAAGCCCAGTGGGGTTGGACACAGAGCATGGATCATCTCCAAGGTGCATAAGCCTTAGTTTGCACCAACACTTTCCTTGGAAACTCTCAGGTTTGCAGAGAAAATAAGAGGGTTTTTTAATCACAAACATCAGACATCTGAGCCACGAGCAGAAACTTTCCTGGGGAGCCAAAATCTGTCAGGGTTGGAAGCTTAGAGCTGCTGTTCCCCTCCAAAAGCTGCTGCTTTGCTCTCTTTGCAGGAGAAAACTGGTTTGTATCTCACTTTCTCCACTGACTTATTCCTGGCTGGTGGAGGGCCTCGAGGGTTTGGTGCTGCTCTCCTTGGGTTGGTTTTGGTGGGACACGCTGGTGGGGATGGATCCTGCAAGCACCTGCCAAGCCCAGAATCCTGGCTCTGAGCCAGCAAAACCCAACATAAAGAAATCCATGGAATCCCAGAATGGGTTGGGTTGGAAGGGACCTTAAAACCATCTCATTCCAACCCCACCACGAGCAGAGACACCTTCCACTAGACCAGCCCTGGTGGGTCTAGCTCAGATCCCAGGGAGAGCTCCCAGCAAATCTGTTCCTTTCCTGCACTTCCAAGGGTCTGGCTGTTTGTTTGGAGCTCTGCTGGTCTCTGCTGGAGGTGGTTGGCACGTGTTGGTCCCGTGAGGAAGCGACTGGTCCTTGTCCCTCACGGTGCTCCTGTGGAAACCACCCCCCTTCTGCTGCCTTCACTGCAGCTGGGAGAGGAGATACAACCAGAATAAACCCTCCAAAAAACCCTAAAAACACCCCAAAATGCCCCTCCTTCAGCTGGGTTTGGGGCTCACCCCGTGGCAGCACATGTGGGTCTCTCCGTCTCCACGCCACCACGGGCAGAGAGATTTTGGAAAGAGATCCCTGGGCTGGATGGAACAGTCCTGAAATCCAAGCAGGATCCAAAAAAATGAAGTGGGAATGCAGCTCTTTCTTTCTTTTTTTTTCTTTTCTTTTTAATATCACATGATGGATCCATGAAAACTCTCTTCCCTGGCTTTTTGGCCAGCGAGGAGCCCACGGAGCAGTCCCTGCCCGGTGTCACGGGACGTCCCCACGGTAACTTTTTGCAAGGGTTTGAAATCCTCTGGTTTCCTTGGGTTTTTCTTTCCCCATCCATCACACCCCCCACCCCGACAGCTGTTTACATTTTGGAAGGGTTGCATCAACCCTATCAGAGCACAGCTCTTCTCCTTTGAACTCCTGCCTGGTACTTCCCACTCGTGCCAAGGGTTGGGTCGTGTTGAGATGTCCAAGGATGAGCTCTGATAACTCAGCAGAGGAGGAGGAGGCTGAGGAGAGATGCAGCCACTCGAGGGACTTCTTATTTTAAACCAGATCTGTGGAAATTCAGTTCAGTTCATCCCAGTCAGGTCCAATTTGGATTAATCCTCCCCCAGGGATTTGCAAATGGCTCTGTGACCGTTCCAGGCGTCCCTCAGACCCTTTTTACTTCGCATCACTCGTGACCCCCAAAGCATCTCCCGGGGTTTTTCCTTCTGCTTTGCTGCACAGGAACTATGGTCGGTGCAGAGAAACCTCCCGAGGCCAATCCTTTGGCAGGAGTGGGACAGCAGATCCCAGTAAATCCAACTTTCCGCTGGTTTCCAGGCCAGGCAGTCGGAGGCAGGAGCAGCTGCTGCTGCTTGGTTTTCCATGCAGTGTTTTAACTTGGGAAATGCTGGGCTTGAGACCTCAGGGGAAGCACAACACAGGGCCCAGGACCCTTTTTCTGGTGCTATTTCACCCCCCAAATCCCTTTGATCCAGCTGGTTCCATCAACCTGCTTCCAAACAACCCCTCTGGAAAACTGAGGCGAGAGGCAAATTTTGAGATTACAGAGGTTTTTCGTATTCTATTGAAAATTTATTTATTTTTCATGGAAAACCAGCTTGCCTTCCAGCTGCCTGGGAGAGTTTAGTTCCCAGCAAGGGATTTCCCCCGGGCTGGGAGCAGGAGCTGCAGGGCTGAGACTTCTGCTGGGAGCATCCACTTCTCAGGGATCCCTCCCTCTGTGCTTACTCTGCTTTAAATCACAGCTGAGCTTCCTGTCTGAGCTTTTTAGTCCCTAAAAAACCGACTTTCACCAACCCAGAAATGCATCTCGTCCCTTGAAGTTGTTGCTGCCCCTCCTGAAATGTTTCTTGCTCCCGAGTTTTATAGGGGAAAACCAGCTGGGAAATGTTGTTAAGAGCTGGAAATCTCTGTCAGGCAGCGTTTTGCTGGTGGAAGGAGCACTGCACAAACAAGCTGAGGAGCATCCACATCTCCACACCCCTTTGGATCCTCCTGCTGCTTTGATCTGTGTCCCAGCCATGTGTCCTCTCCCTCCTGCAGACCTCAAATGTATATTTTTGGGAGGGAAGAATTAAAAAACCCCTGGATCTCCCAGACACTCTTTCATCCAAGAGTGTTTGAGCAGAATTTATCTCCCTCCTGCAGCCCCCAAACTGTCTGACAGACACTTGGTAGACAGAGACGTCGGTGTTTGGACTCATCCCAAAATATCTTTGCTCTCAGCTGGGTGGGAAAAGGGATAAAGCTCCATCAAGGACCTTCCTTTGCTCTTCCCACCCACCTCCATCAGAGCTGACTGTGGAGATGCTCCTGTTCACAGGTGCTTGGGATGGATTGGACAGGGAAGGACCTCCTGGGTCACATCTGCTGTGTCTGACACTAAACCAAAGCCTGGATTGATCTTTCCTGCTTGGAAAAAGTGGAAGTGAGGATGTGGCTGGTCCCCCTTCCCCCTGGAGCCACCTCAGCTGGGCCCCAAAACCACGGCCAGAGCTGAGCTCCAGCTGAAGCTGCCTCTGGGAATCACCTCCAAAAGGTGCCACCAGCCCTGCAAGGGAGAGGATGGAGGGAGAAGGTGCCACCCTGGGGTGCTGATGGACTTCTGTGTCATATATTTGGGGTGCTTGAGGTGCTCAGCCCAGCCCAGAGGGACCTCAGTGCCAGGGGTGGCTGTTGTGGGGACACTGAGCCAAGCCCTGCGTGGAACAGGAGCCCCCACTGTGCCCAGGAAAGGGGAAGAAAACCCTCCTTGGCACTTTTTCTCCTGCCCCTTTGCCGTGGTTTCCCAGCCAGGCTCTCCTGGGCACCAGCACTGCCCGTGCCCGGGTGGGTGCAGGGCAAACTAAAGGCTCTGCCCAGCTGCCCCAGAACTTTGTGGTGCCCTGTGGCATCGCAGCCACCTCCTGGGTGCTGTGGGCACTGGTGTCACTGTTTTCCACCCCAGGAGTGGCACCTGAGCGGGGATGGTGCCCAGCTGGAGGTGGTACCTGAGCGAAGGTGACACCCCACAGCCATCGGTGACCCCTTGAAGACCTTCCATCCCCAAGCCCCCCCTGGGCTGAGGGGTCCCCAGGAGACCCCGGTGCGGCGGCACAGGCAGAGGACGCTGCCGCGGGGTTGGAATTCCCGGCTGGCACAGCTCTCCGGGAAGCCGTTCCCTAAAGGGTGCCGGGCCGGGCGAGGGCTGTCCCCGCTCCGGCCGCTCCTGCTGCACCTCCTCCAAGTCCTCTCGTCCCTCCCACTCCCTCCCAATGCTCGCCTCCTGTCAGGGAGCCGGGAAAGGCTGGGATAAGGAAAGGGCTCTGGGATAGAGGCGCTACCAGTCTGGCCGGCTGCCCCCGCGGATGCTCCGGGCCGGGCAGCGGGGCAGCTCCCATGGCCCTTCCCAGCGGGATGCTCCTCGCCTGCTCCCTCTGCCTCCTGCCCGGTAAGTGCCCTCTGCGCCCACCCCAATTCCTCAAACGAGGCGAAACCCACCGGGAATAATTTATACTGACTTGGGAAAGGTGCTGCTTGGAGAAAGCCCAAGGTTAATGAGGCTCTTGGAAAAGTTTTGCTGGGAGCGGGAGGGAGGGAGGGAGGGAGGTGGGAGCCTTTGAGGAGGCTGCTTGGGAGGGATGGAGATCCTTGATGGGCTCCCCAGGACCGAGCGGGCGGGTGGGCAGCGCCCGACCCCCCTCCTCGGCTGGAGGAACAGGATTAATTGGTGTTTTCCTAAAGCATCGGATGGCGGGGGGAAGAAAACCCCCCAAACTAACGACCCTTTTATTTAGAACTAACGTCGCGCCCCACAGGTGGTTCGTCCTGTTGCACAAAAGAAAATCGCTCGGGTTTAAATAAAATAAGAGGGGTTTTAGGCAGAGTTTGGCTCCAGGAGCTGAGCCTGCAGTTTATCCCGTGCGGGACGAGCTGCCGGGGGCTGGGGTGAGAGGGGGAATGGATTTTTATGCTCCTTGCCGGCTCGTTAGGGCTCTCTTCTTGCAGAAAAGTGTCCCAGCACCGGTAATTCCCGTTTCGATCCCGTCTGGCATCCTCCCGCACGCAGCCGGGCTCGGAGCTGCCAAACTGGGCTGAAAGGGGGGAAAAAAAAAACTTTTCCCCAAACCAGGAGCGCGGCCACGGGCTCACGCCTCCCCCAGCCAAGCGTTCCCAAACATCCTGGTGGAAACGCGCGCCAGGCTGGTTGAGGTTTTTTTTTTTTTAATGGCTGCTTTGCTTTTTTTTCCCCTTCTCTGGTGGCGGATCCTTTCAAGCGGCGGCGGCGGCGGAGCTGCTTTGCTCGGTTAATGGGGACCATCTGTGCCCTGCCCGTGGCCAGCGCGGGGCTGTCTGCGGGGAGGGCACAGCCCTGCCCTGCCCACGGCCCGTGGGGGGAAACCCCCCCGGGGAGACGCTGCTCGGACACAAAGGGTGGGCACCGCTCAAGGAACTCGGGGATGTGGCACATGGGCAGCTCTGCCCTGCCCTGGGCTGGCAGGGAATCCTGCCTGCGAGTGGATTTGCCCATGGGGGGTTTCTGTATCCAGGGGCTTCTGCCCATGGAGGTTTCTGCCCACGCTGGTTTTTGTACCCAGGTGTTTCTGCCCATGGGGGTTTCAGCCCACGGGGGTTTGTGCCCACAGTGGTTTCCAATCTCAAGTGTTTCTGCCATGGGAGCTTCTGCCCATGGATGTTTCTGCCCATGGATATGTCTGCCCATGGATGTTTCCATCCTGGGGTGTTTCTGCCCATGGATGTTTCTGCCCTTGGATGTTTTTGCCCTTGGATGTTTCTGCCCTTGGATGTTTCTGCCCATGGGGGTTTCAGCCCACGGGGGTTTGTGCCCACGGGGGTTTCCAGTGTCAAGTGTTTCTGCCACGGGAGCTTCTGTCCATCCACAGGATGTTTCTGTCCATGGATGTTTCCATCCTCGTGTGTTTCTGTCCTTGGATGTTTGTGCCCACGGGGGTTTGTGCCCACAGTCTTTACCATCCTCAGGTTTTTGTGCCCACAGTGGTTTCCACCCTCAGGTGTTTGTGCCCACAGGGGTCTCTGTCCGTGGATGTTTCTGTCCGTGGATGTTTCTGTCCATGGATGTTTCTGCCCCCAGGGATTTCCCTCTCTGAGTGTTTGTGCCCCTGGATGGTTCTGCCCACTGCAGTTTCTGTATCCAGGGGTTTGCACCCACGGGGGTTTGTGCCCACAGTGTTGCCCACCCCAGCTGTCCCTGCCCAGGGGGTCTGTCCCATCCTCTGGGGAGGATGCCCTGAGGTGCCCGTGGGTCAGACCATGCAGCAGTTTTCCCTCACCAGTTTGGTTTCCCAGAGAAGGCAGTTGACTCCTTCCCTCTCCCAAGGGTCACCAGGTGACAAAACCATTGTGCTGGCTCCACGTGGCACATTTGGGATTGGCCAGAGGGGTTCTTAAGAACCCTCCAGTCCAGGCTTTGATGGTGGAGACTTAATTTTGGGTGACTGCAGAGCCCCAGCAGTGCAGCTGAGAGGGGACCCCCCCCCCCCCCCCCCATTGTCCATCCATTGGCCAAGGCTTGGTCTGGAAAGATCCAATAAATACCCCCCTCAAGGCATTTATTTGAGAAGCCAAACCTTGCCCCTAGCCCATGGCTTTCCTGGCATTTTCCTGGGAAAGGGGCAGTGGAAGACTTGCCACTATTTATTCCTGGCTGGCATTATCACAAATGAACAATCCGTGAGTTCTTTAGGGCTGCAAAACATGGCCATCAAACAGCTCCTCCCCAGTTTTGGGGGGCCCAGAAAGCTGGAATTCTGGAAGCACAAGGTACCTGTGTAGCTGCAGCCCCGGAGCTGCTTGTCAGGGATTTTGTGGGTGAGCAGGAATGTTCCCCACACGAGCCGGGAATGACTGATCCCTCTGTTCATCCTCAGCATTCCCTGGCTCTCCAGCCCCTGCTGCAGCAGCCACCAAAGCCTGGGCTGTTCCCTAATAGCTGATGACAAATGCTGGCTTTGAGATAGGGACATGGAGAGGAGCTGGGGGCTGTCAGCATCTCGTCTGGCACAGAGGGATTCCTGGGAATTAAAGCTGGAGGGAAGCACAAGGACACGTGGCCCATCCTGCTCCTTCTTGCAGCTTTTGCCTAAATATCCTTTGTCAAGCTTAAAGATTTCCTTGTCCAGCCAAATATTTCAATCCTGGGAAAAGAACAAGCAATGGGATGCAAAGGAGCATCTGATGCCACCAAATCCTACGTGAGGATGGGGATGGGGATGGGGATGGAATCACCGGAGTCCAGCCCGGTGCTGAGTCACCAGTGGCATTCCCAGGGATGCTGAGGGGGCAGAGATCACATCCATGGACCCACTGCCCACTCCTTATGGGCTTGAGTGAGGAGAGGGAATGGGACTGAGAACAGCAGGGCCAGTTTGGAGGTGCCAGACGGAGCTGCCTGACCCCGGCACGCTCCAGATTTTTGGCAGACGGGATCTTTCCCTCTGCCATGCACTCTCAGGCTCCTCCAGTGAGCAGCTGGCTCATCCCTCCAGGGCAGCAAGAGCCTGGCATGGCACATGCTCCTCTCATGTCCCATTCACACCGTTTTCCTTGTGTCACCTGCAGTGCCCCATGTATATGACACGGAATCCCCTGGGATGGACACGTTGGGATCTTTTTCCAAGTGTCACTGCTCTGTGTTGGCTCAGCCTCTCTCCAGAAGCTCCCTTTCAAGCTGTGACAGTGCTGGAGGTGAATGAAAAAGGCTGGATTTACATGATTCAGCTAAAAATATTGCCTGCATTTCCCTCACAGGCAAATAAAACCAGGGAAACTCTTCCGGCAGCTCCGGCGTCTGGCTCACAGCTCCTGGAATCAGAAAACTTTGGAGCAAAGGAAGTAAAATAGAGCCTCAAACTTCTCATGGAAGTAAAAACAGGCTTAGGGCACCACAGTGCTGCCAGGCACCTTTCCAGAGCCCCCTTTCCAGCTGTGAATCCCACTGCCTGCCTGAAGGATCCAGGCAGGAGGATGGCACCGGGACCCACCGTCCCCCTCCCAGAGGTTTCCCTTACAAGGAGGACTTATTTTTATCTTTTTTGGCAGGAAAGGTGGCTTTTATTCCCATCATTGTTTCCCAAAATGTGTCTTATTTTCTCCTCTTTTCGATCTTCGACCTGACAGGAATCAAAAGTTTGGACACGACAGAAGCTCCGAGCTCGGAGCGGAGGAATTTGAGGTTTCCTGCCTTGGCGGCCTCACAAGCAAAACATGTGGCTTTTGGTCACTTATTTATGACAGTGATGTCACTCCTGACAAGAAAATGAGCCTGGGCTCTTCGGGGTTGCTAAATGTCCTTGACAACCCGTCCTAAAGCTCCCACGAGCTGGAGCCAGTTTAAATATTCTCTGCTCTTTGTTTGGTTTCTCTGTGCCTCGAGTGCACCCATGGTTTGGACATCCCTCCCCTCTGCTGTCCAGTGCCTGGAGACTTTCTGCTTTTCCAGCCCCATCCCCTTCCCCAGTGCCTGGTGCCTGCTGTGGCTGGGATGTCCCTCACAGCTCTTCCCCCAGCTCAGAGATTTCCCACTTCATGGAATATTTCTGCTGTTTAGCCGAGGGTTTATGTTGTTTTCCGTGTCCTGGCTGCCTTCTGCTGCAGCTCCACGATGTGGTCCTAAACCAAGGAGGCATGGGATGGGATTCCCCAAGTTATCCCTGTGCTCCCACTCCCCAAAACCCTCTGCAGTGCAAAATCAGAGAAACTGTGATTAATGCAGAAATAAATCAGCTGGAAACCCATCCCATCCCCCCCGACACTCGCTCTGCACCCGAGGGGCTTCTACACAACCTGGAACTGAACCTGCTGGAAACACAAAACCCCTTCCCTAAAAGTCACCCCTTTTCCAAGGGGTTTTCCAGCCAGATCCAGGGTCTCTCTGGTGGTAGCAGTGACACCCCAGGGTGCTCCTAGCCCCCCAAATCCTCCCCCTTGCCCTTGCCCATCACTCCTCCCATGCCCAGTCCCATGCCGTGTTTCTCCCCCGGGTATCAGTTACTCAGAGGAGGTTTTAATTTGTTTTGTAGTGTTAAATGAGGTCAATGTACCACAAAATATGCTGGCTCTCATCCGTGTCTCCTTTTTTTTTATTTTTTTATTTTTATTTTCTGATCCCTGCTTTCTAGAATTTCTTTTTGTAGGATCAGGAGGCTCCTTCACCTCAGCCCTCCTCGGCCAGACCACGCCGCTCCCTCGTCATGGAGCCAAAGCTGCAGATTTGTTCCCATGCCTGCAAAAATCAGCTTTATCCCTGACATTCCTACCCATCAAAACACTCTCCATCCTGAATTTTTCTGCCTGGGAGCAGCATTCCCAACCTCTCCTATTGACAACTCCTTTATGTCCCTGTAAATACCAACCCCGAGCCTTCTGTTGCTGTTGCAGCCCTTCTTAAGAAGGATCTTTTATTTGCATGAATCATCCAGCAGCTCCTTTCTGTCCAAGTGGGAATGAAAAGCCAGGATATCCTGGCTCATCCCTATCCATCCCTGCAGCTTCCACCTCCTTCTTGGGAGCTGGATGATGTCCCTTTGTGCTTAAACAACCCCCTGGGGGAAATAATAGTAAGGAAAAACCACTTGATTGTATAAAAATCACTTTATTGTATAAAACACAAAGCATTTGCATCTGTGGAGGGTTTGAGGGTGCTGCTGGTCCGAGCCAAAGTGTGTCTGTCTCTGGATGAAGATGGGAGATAGTGGCTTGGAAGCCTCTGGCTGTGGGACATGGACCGTGGGACCTGGGACCTGTAACAGAGACAACGCAGTGCCAGAGCTCCCTGGAATGGATGGAGCTCTTCCCCCTATCCAGGGGTCTTTGTCCCCAGCTAATTCCTCCATGGAATGCAGCCAGGGGGGCTCTGGCAGCTCCTGCACCCGTGGATGGGCAAAGAAGCATCTCCAGCATTCCCAAAACACCCCAGTCCTGGCAGGATTCCCTTGGCATCTTGACTTCCCACCTTGCTGCTGGGTCTGGCTCCTCACAGAGGGAGGAGCTGCCAGAAGAACCCCCCAGAAATTGCTCCCTGGCCAGACAATTGCTCCTGGAGTTTGTCCTGGGTGGGCTGTGAGCAGCAGGCTCATGGAGATGGGATGCTGTGGGCAGGGATCCTGCTCCTGGTGTCCTGTGGGAAGGGGTGTCCTCCAGAGCAGCCCTGGGGAGAGGACTGAGCCCAAAAACCACCCTGTCCAGCTCTGAGCATCCATCCTCAGGGACATCCCCCTCTGGAGCTGCCTCTCCCTAACAAAGCAGCACCAGCTTCTCACCCAGGGGAAATGACTCCCAGCTTTAGATCCCCGGGGCTGCAAACCCCTCAGGGGCAGAGGGGGATGGGCTCCAACTGGGGCACATCTGCTGTGGCCACACATTTTCCATGTCCCCTCAGCCCATGATCCCTGCTGGGGGGGTGGGGACGTGGTGGGGACCATCTCCACCTCAGCTGGAGGAGCAAAGTGTCCCAGAGCAGCATCACCCGTGGCAGGGGGTTGAAGACACGTCAGAGAGGAGGAGGATGCTTTTCTTTCTCCTTCCCATGCCCACCCTGGTTCCAGCTGGTCCCCTTTTCCATCAGGATGAGCTGGTGGATGAGCTTTGCAGGTGGGTGGGGAAGGGCTTGTGCAGCTGTGGCCTCTAAACCCTCAATGATCCTGCTTAAAGCTCCATCCCTGGGGCTGGAAACCCCCTGGGGGCTCAGGGATGGGCAGAGGAGTGTTGGGTGGCCCCAGGTGAGGTGGGTCTGAGGTACTTTGGCTCTTGCAGCCTCCTCTCTGTCCTGGTGCTGTGGGAATTCTGTGCCACAGGGAGTCAAACCACCCCTGGCTCAGGTAGGTCCATCCTGGGGTATGCTATACAGCTTTTGGGGGCAGCATTCCCAGGATGGCTGGGGTTGGAGGCACCTCTGAAGGTCACCTGGTCCAGGTTGCTGGGGTTGTGTCCCCTTAGAGTTTGAGTATCTCCATGGGTGGAGACCTTCCAACCCCTGGGGTGACCTGTGAGCACAGCCAAGGGGTGTTCTCTCCTCCCAGCCCAGCCCTTGGCTGACAGGATCCTTCTCCTCTCTCCCAGGGCTCAGTGACACCTTCAACATCGACACCAAGAGGCCCAAAATCATCTCTGGCTCCAAGGAGGCCTATTTTGGGTACACGGTGCAGCAGCACGACATCGGGGGCCAGAAATGGTGAGTGAGCTCTGGGCTGGGCTCTGGAGGGGGGGGAGTCCAAAACAACCCTCCCAAAACTCTGGCTGGTCTCCTCCTGCTCCACCTGACCCCCAGTTTGGGGTGGGAGGAGCTGTGACTCCGAGGGAAACTGAGGTTTGCTCGTGGTGGTGCTGAGTGAAGCAGAGCCTGGAAACCCTTTTCCTTTCAAAAAGTGGAGTTTTGGGAGGGGATAACGGGATATTTTGGTAGGGTTCTGTACAGAGGGTGGTATCGTGGGTCCTGCCCATCTGCCTCCCGTGCACAGGGCTTTGCTCCAGACAGGTTCCTCATTCCTTGGAGCCCCTTGGACTCGGACACTGCTGGAAACCCACCCGGGTTTTGGGTCGGGGCCATCCCGTTTTCTGGAGTTCCCATCAGAGCCTGGTCTGCAGAAGTGCTCAGCCCTGCCTGTGTCTGTCAGGAACGTGAGATGAGCCTTGGGTGGGCCCTGCCCAGATTTTGGGTTTCGTGGGGGGTTTTGCTGCTTGCCAGGGCTGGTCCCCACAGGGGGATCCTGCCCAGATGTTGGCAGAACCCCTCGGTGCTGGATGCTGTGGGGAGCCCAGGGAATTCTCTGCATCTCCATTCCTGCAGGATCTGTGCCAGGGTGGGCGACAGCCAGGCTTGAGGCAGCAAGAAAACACATAATGAATGCCCATGGATACTCCTGGAATTCAGGAATCAAACCTGTTGTGCCTTTTCATGCCCTTTGCTGGTGCTGGTGGGGGACACGGGGCTGGATCTCAGGCTGAGCTGAGGTTTCAATGGGAAGGAATTTTTGGGGCCAGTTGAGGGCTCTCTTTCCTCTGGCTCTGAGCCCTGTTTGCTGCAGGGATTGTGTGGTTTTCCCAAATGGAATTTTGCATCTCATTAAGGGGGTGATGCTGATGCTGCAGCCCCAGGGCTGGGGGGGCTCTGGTGCTCCCACCTGCATCCCAGAGGGCTCTGCCAGGGAGCAGGTGACCTCTTGGGATGTTTTTCCTCCTCCCTGTCCATGAACCTGCGCTGTGGGACTCTTTCCCAAGCGAGCTTACACTCAGGAATCCAGAAACATCTGGATGGGACAGAGCCCTCCACCTTTCCTTTGCTTAAGAATGTGACTATTTACCCAAAGAAACGCTTTTTTGGGGCTAAAGAATTTTAGGCAGGTCATGGCCAAAGTCAGTGGAGCTTAAACACAGCTGTGGGGTCATTCCAGTGAATGAAACAAATCCCTGGAAGGTCTTGTGCAGGACCCCTGGGTGTGGAGCTGGTGGCACAGAGGATGTTCCTCTCCCTGGCCTGAAGTCTGCCATCCTCAGCTCCCTCCTGGCAGTGCTGGAGCACATCTGGGTGTCCCCATGTGCCTGATTCCCAAAGGAGCCTGGTGTCTCCATCCCTCAGCTGCTCCAGGGGGTGTCTGGGATGGTGGGATGGGCTCGTGCTCTTCAGGGCACTCAATCAGATGCTTCGGGGCACGGGAGCTCCTCGTGTGCAAAATGAACAAAATGTGAAATATTTTCCGTCAGGAACGGATCCAAAACCCCAAAAAATTCGGTGCTGTTTGCTCTGGCTCCTGCAAGAGGCTCCAGAGGTTCTGCCAGGTCAGGATGAGAGGATGTTCAGGGATCGTGGTTCTCAGAAGCAGATAAGGAACAGGAACCAAGTGTCTCTGCCACCACATTCCTGCTGCCTCTTCTTCTGGAGAACATCCCTTTTCCAGATCTCATTTCATCCCAAACAGCCAAATCCCTGGGAGTGTCCAAGGCTGGGTTGGACGGGGCTTGGAGAAACCTGGGATAGTGGGAGGTGTCCCTGTGGCAGGGGTGGAACTGGATGGGCTTTAATTCCCTTCCAACCCAAACCATTCCATGATTTATGAGGGATCCTGTGCAATTCCCTCCCACCCCTCAGGGCCTGCTTTCCCTGGGAACACCAGCAGCAGGGAAACCCTGGAGTGTTCAGTGCCTCCAGAGATTTCTGCCCAAAGGGAGCTCTTTGAGGGAGACTGATGGAAAACACCCATTTTTGGGAATATCTTCAGCCCAGTTGCATGTCTAGGTGCTGTTTTATCCCTGATCCCAGCAGAGGGACTCCAGTTCCTGAGACTGGGAGTCTCTTATGCTGCTTCTCATACCTTGGAGCTGCCACCACCACTGATGGGCTAAGGATTAGTGAAAGGGGATAAAAATCCTCCCTTTTCCCAGCAGGACACTGGAGCAAAGACCAGCCCTGGTTTATTTTTTCTGTTCTCCCATTTCTCCTGCCAACGTCAGGCAGGACAGAGGTTTAATTTCCTCTGGTTTTGGTTATTCTGCATGAAAAAAGGAACTTTTTCTGCACAGCAGGAGCGTCCACACGTGCACACACACACACATATATATATATATATATATAAATCCAGCATTATTTAAATCTGCAGTTATGCAGCACAAAATGTCCATTAAATATGTGGACGTGGTTAAAAAATGAAGCCACTGTGACTCACCCTGGTTGAAGGAGAAATGAGGAAGCAACCCCAAAGCTCTGTGGTCCAAACCAGGGACATGGAGGGGGAGGAGGATTAGGATTGTCCCAAGTTCCAGGAGCAATGGAGAGGGAATGATGAAAGCAGGGGTCAGATGAGCATCCTTCAATCCCATCCCAGGGGAGTTCAGCAGGATCCACTGCAGAGGAGCTCCAGGGGGATCTCAGAGCTCCGTGTGGTTCCAACGACGTGCACGGACCCGGCTGCCAAATTCCAGGCGTGGAATCCGAGGACTTTGGCACCTCTCCTTCAGTCTGAGCCTTTTAATGCTGCTTTTGGCTGCTGTGGATGGGTTTAGAAGGGTTTCAAAGCAACCTATATATATATATATATATATATAAAAATATGTGTAGATGTGTGTGTGTAAAGGCATATTTAGGTGTGTATAAACTTAGAGATAATATTCTCCAGGTATCTTTTTAATGAGTTTTTCCCCTTTCTTGAAGGTTTGGAAAAAGGACCCAGATCGTTTGCACGTGAGGGCTGTAATTCCAGCCCAGATAGTGGAAAATCCATGAGGAAAGAATTCAGATTATTAAAGTCTAGGGGAGGGGGGAGAAAAAAATCTACTTGGATATACAGTGCTCGAAAAGCTGGTGGATTTGGGGGGTGAGTTTGAAAGCGGCTTTCAAACTTCTCTCTCAACACCTTCTCTCTCTTCTTCATTAAGCTGGGGGTGCCTTCTGCAATTATGTGAATGGAAAAGATGACAACAGGGTAACTGAAACTCATCCTGAAGTGCTCCAGGGCCTCGTGCAGCAACGCTCAGGCAGCGGCTGCCCGGCCCTGGAGCCTCCTGGGATTTTGGGATCATGGGATCTGAGCTTGCCCAGTGCCCAGGGCTGGGGAAATGGGAGCTCCCTGTGCTGCTGGTTTTGGGACAAAATGACCTGGAAGGGGTTTCAGGGAGTTGCTGTGAGGATGGAGGTGATTGTGGGGTTGACTTGAAGGGGTGAGCTGGCTCAGCGCTGCTCCTCTGCCCGGGTCACACTCTGGTTTGGGCCATTTTGAGGGGGTGTGAATCAAATCCAGGCAGGTTTGTTGCTGTGGAAGGATTTATTTGGGCAAAATAAGTGTGTTCAAACAAGCCAAGGGTTTCCACAAACTCCCATGGGATGTGTGTCCCTGAATTGTGGAAGCTCCCACGGGTGCTCTTCTCGCAGTGCTCGGGGATGTTTGTGGCCAACACAAACTGGAATCACATCAAATTTCGGGTCCAAGAGCAGGGGAAAAAGGCAGAAAAATTCCCTCTGTCTTTCATCTCCTTCCAGTTGTTTGTCTTGGTTGCTCCCTGTCATCCCGTGAGCAGGAGCTGTGTCATTCCCTAAGGAAGGACAATTCCCTCCTCTCACACGTGCGTGGGAGGACACTCCAACCACTGCCCTCAGCTTCCCATTGCCACCAGACATCCCAGGAGAGAAGTAGGAGAGGGAAAGGGGGTCCAGGGGACTGGTTGTGTCTCCACAGGGCAGTGGCAGCATCTGGGATGCTCCACACAAGTGCCAGGACCAGCCTGTGGCTGTGGATTGAGGGTTTCCAGCTATGCAAAAAATGAAGCTTGAGAAGAACGGGCTGTGGAAGGAGAGCCCTGGGAATAAACATCCATTAGCCCTCAGAAGCTGTAAAAATAATAAATATAGCATTCCCGAGCTGGCTGAGGGCAGGGATTCACTGATCTGCTGGCAAGGTGGCAGGACTGGGGAGTGGGTCCCTGTGGGCTTCAAATCTGTGGGTCGAGTGATTGGGATGCTCCAGAGCTCCCTCCCCATCCTAAGCTCATATCCTGCAGCTGTGAAACCCCAGTGAAGGGTTCACCCCCCCTTAACCTCCCACAAAAATCATCCTTGTGAGCCCCTCCAGAAGTTTCCCCCCTTCCCAAGGGTTCCTGGAGAGGGGCAGCCCCGACCCCCGTCCCTGCAGCTGCTCCAGGCACAGACATGACGTTCCCAGTCTGAGCCCGGCCAAGGGGAAAAAGAGGAGGGAGAAGGGAGGGCAAAAATCTGCCTGCTGGATTTCAGGCTATAATTGTGCTGATCTGGAAAAACAGTTACAGGGTTTGCTGTTTCCCTACTACTGAGAGAGGCTTTCTTGGCTGGAATTCTCCTGTGGTTTGGCCGCTGCCCGAGCGCTCGGATTATTTTGGTGGAAGGGGACGGGACTGCAGAGCATTCCTGCAGCCTGGGGATCATGGACGGTGGTTGTGGGGATCATGGATGCTGGCTGTGGGGATCATGGATGCTGGCTGTGGGGATCATGGATGCTGGCTGGGGGGATCATGGACACTGGCTGTGGGGATCATGGATGCTGGCTGTGGGGATCATGGATGCTGGCTGTGGGGATCATGGACACTGGCTGTGGGGATCATGGACGCTGGCTGTGGGGATCATGGACACTGGCTGTGGGGATCATGGATGCTGGCTGGGGGGATCATGGACACTGGCTGCTCCCGGCTCTCCCTCCCACCACGGGCTGC